TTTCTGAGACATACCCAAAGCTCTAAAAACAAAACCAAATGATACATCGTTGCTCAGTTGATCATCAGCTCCGATAACACATATTTACTTTAAATAAATATAGGCACATATTTTAACTGGCAGCCAACTTTACATCTTCCTTTTGAGTGATATTTCTGGTTCAAAGGGTATTCCCAGGCATAGATAAAGAAGTGAATTATTTCATAATAGGAGAGTCTATTTGCATACCTATAAATACATGAAATAACTGCTTTTTCTGATTTAAAGAAATTTATGTATCTGGCAGTACAACTGCAATTGTATAAAGTCACTTAAAGTACTTAAATTCTGTAAATACCTCTTAAAATGGTAAATAAATTGAATGATCATGATAGAGTCTTCATTTTTTTGGATTCAAGTTTAAAGACAGATGATGTCAAATGCCAGACAGCTGAGCTGGTCTGCAACAATTAACAATATACACATCTCCAGGCAACAGAAAAAATACTTCTGAGGACACTTGAAAAAATCCCTCTGAAGATTTCACCCTGCCTACTTTAGCATTCTGAGTGTCCCTCATGCAAGTCTAATTTATGCAGTGATGAGTATCTTGAGAGATGGAAACTGTATTATAGACATGGAGATAAAATAATCCCTAAGTGAGAAGAACCAGTTTGGTCCCAATAACATTATACTCAGCACTGCAGGTAGAATCAATGTCATTAATTTTGCTAGTTAGCATAAATCTTACCTTTCTGATTAAAGTAATAGTTTGTCAGAAAATCAGACTTTCCTCACCTGATAATAATCCAATACAATTTAATGACAGTTTTCCTGAGTAAGGAAAAGGATCTCTTCAGATACTCTCAAAGAGGAGTTGCAACTCTGTGGTGTGTTTTGTGTTTGTCCCACCTCATCTCCCCTGAGCCAAAGGCCAGGTCACATGAAGTTTTTGTTCTTCAGCTTTCTAGCAAGGAGACACTGAGCACCATGAAATATGTCATACCGTGGAGCCATGGAAACTCAGCTCCTGCTCACCAGTGACTTGAAATAACTTAGTCCTATAAAATGCTAAATCACTCCGGCAAAGTTCCTGAAATCCCATTCCTCTGGATATCAGTGCTGAGTTATGAGGTACTGCAGCTTGCCAAACACAGATCATGCTCTCAGGGCACTTCTTCAAGCCCTCTTGCCCTAGTCCTTCTGCAGTCTAATTTGTGGCATGTTCCCCAGATGCTTCCAGAGAACTCTGAGGTGCAAAGTACAGAACTGCAAGGCTCAATCCATCTTTTGGCAATCGTCCTGACAAAAATAGGATCTGTTTTCTGGAAACCATGCAGGATTTGTGTCTGGTAGAACCCAGATTTGGCCTTGTATTTCAAGAGCAATTTCTGCACTAATTCAACACACTGGCCTGCACCACAGGGTAAGATCCCAGTCCTTCACAAAAACAGCTATTCTACACGGGAGGCTGAAAGCATTCCATTTTTATCTAAACCCACCAGCCCTGACTCTCTCCCCTCCTTGCAAGATGCACTCTGCACTCAATGCAGAAATCCATCAAGATCCTTTCCTACGGAACGGAAGCGCTGGGTCCCAGCTGCAGGCATAATGCAAGAGGATTTGTGCTTGAAGTAGAAAACGCTGTCTTTTTGAAACAAAACACATTGCTGCTTCAAGTAACCTTACCAAAATGAGATTCACAGAGTTCTGCCCCGAGGAAAGGGTACAAGGGAGAATAAATGCAGATGGCAACAATCAATCTTCTCGCTCAATGAGCTACCAGAAAAGTCCACAGAGATGGCAGCAATAAGGGCAAAGCAAAGCTCCACAGAGATCTGAATAGATGTGTGCATATATATTTGTGTGTGTATATTTAAAATAAATCTCTTCTTTTTATGGTTTTTGTTCAACCACAGGTCCAAAAAGAGGTTTTAAATACAAGCTTTTGGGACTACTAAAGAGGTGAATTTATGAACGTATTCCTAAAAAAACACACTCTGGAAAGCTTTAATCTATGAATTGTGACAACCTTGGACAAAATGGATTTTTAATAGAATATAATGTAAACTGCCTGAAACACTGTGATAAGGAAGTTTTTTTTTTTAAGTAATGCACAGAAAAGGCATGATGCACTCTGCATGAAAGGAGGAAAGGTCTTAATTTAAAGCATTTTAATGAACACTCAATTGGCATAGGGAAATGTGAGAAATGGAGATGAAAAACTCATGATAACAATAATATTGCAGAGGGAAGAAGGAAAAAGATTAGAAAACTAAGTGAGTTTGAAAAGGCTCCAGCTGATAACGCTGGCTAAAAGGAACAGAGACTGGATTAAGAACATGTCACAGTCCAAAGCTACTGTTCTCCTTGCAGGCAGTGTCTGCTGGTGGCTCTTATCAGAGCTGCATACTGGGGAGGAAAGAGCAATCCAAGTGCACAGCAGTGGAGAACAGACCTCTCTCTGAGCTAAGGACAACAAGAATAGGCAGATTTCAGTGGATGCAGCTGTGACTTGCTGGAGTGTCTCACTTTCACCAAACCAACCAGAGCTGTGGGAGGTTTGGAGGCCCCTCACAAAGCCCAAGGGAAGTTGCAAAACCATAGTAAACTCAGCCATCTCTTCCACAGACAAAACGAGCCAGGTTCAGAGGCTCAGGCCTGACTTACATGCTTCTCTACTACCCGCCTAACAACAGGCGAGTCAGCAGAACTGAAATTACTTCCAAGAGAGAAAAAACTGTCCCCTGAGGTAGATACAATTCTGTTTACTAATAGCTTCTGCTCTGCAATGAAAGAGATTGATCCCACACTCTCACTGGTACATAAACTGCCTTTAATAAAGCTCCCTGTATTACTAAAAGGAGGAACAGATGAATCGGGTCTAGCAACAGTTTTGCCACATTGACCTTAACAGAAGCAAGTTTGAGTCTCTGCTCATCTAAATTAAATAGCAGAATCCCCACATAAACACTTAATATTCTTCAAAAGAAACAAAAGGGCCACCATTATAACAGAAAAAAATTAAAGTAAAGATCAAAGTTAAATATTTACTCTAAGCACTACAATATTTGCAGATCTGGAGACAATCTTTCAGCAGCTTCTATTTGCATACTTTAATTAATCAAAAAATATTAAACTAATCTCACAAAGGAAAGGGTCAAAGTATTAATTAACTTGAGATCTGTTGCTTTTGTGCAATTTAACAGTTCAACACAAAGCAAAAGTCAGTTTTAATAAAAACTAAGTTACTGTGACAGGTATAATTTCATGGATTAGTGAAACCACGTACAAAGCAATAACTTTCAGTGTGCATCCTATTTTTTATCTAACTTTTAAAACTTTGTTTCAGTTCAATAAATTGATTCCTCCCTAACACCAAATGATCTTAAGTCTTCTTTTAAACTCAGCGTTTCACTTTCAAATTGATGGGTTTCCATCCTGCTCTGAACCAACAGAGGTTGCAGTTGTTTTAGCAAAAAGAACCTGACTGCAATGATCAGCAGAGAGCAGAAGCTGCTCAGACCCCCGCATCTGCTGCCAGAGCTGATTCAGGCTGAGATGTCACTGATGGAACCACCACAGGTCATCACAGGTGTGAAGGTTCCCCGCCAGCCAGGTCTCTGCTGGCTGAGCTCTCACCCCACCAAAGGGACTCGCTGGTTTCTTTAACACCGTTTAGAGGAACTGGGGAATCTCACCAAAAGATTCAGAGACAAAGCACAGAGTGCCAAATGCAGCCCATGAAGCCCCAGCAAAATAATGATGGAAGGTGGCTAGAACTGCCTTCATCACAACCTCCGAATTACAACTTTGACAAACGTGCTTAGGAATCAAGAGGGGACTCCCCCCACACTTCTGTTTTAATGGGGAGGAAATGCATGAAACAGCTAATGAACTGAAAGGTTTGCCTGGCATTTCATGCCAGAAAGCTCTGTAGCACTTGACTTCACCAGAGACACCGAGCAGGGAATCACCTCCCCTCACTTCTCGCGTTTACAATGCAAATGTCTGCGTCCCACTCAGTCGCCTCCACTCTGCATCTTTACTGCAGAGAAACAGGCGCTTTTTGCTCGCTGTTCCATCAGGCCTGTTTTACACATCCAAGAGGACTCTCACCTCTGCACTGCCTATTCATCCCTGCTGCTAAAAAGCAAACTCGCGTTAAATAGCTTTCACCTCAACGCTTGTATTGCAGGTACGCAGGTCTAGATGGGATTCGTCTGTTCCCCAAATACAGCTTAGAAACTAAACAGAGTAGGAACTCTCTCTGTACTCCAAACCTCTGGCAGCAATCTTCCTAGGTCTAAACAATTACTAACAACCACTTTTCTCCCTTAGAGGAGCTTTCAGAAAAAGAATGGATTCAAAAGACTCCTCAAATAAAAATACTGACATAAAGTTTAGAAATTTCCTAATTATGATACAGGTTCAAGTTAAATTCATGCACACTGTACTTTAAGTGTAGAGTAACTGCATGGCAACAGAGAGAAATGGCTTGTATTGTAAAATACATCATTCTGACTAACAAACAATGTAAATTTCTCATTACATTTGATACAGCTTGTGGGAGCATTACCACAACAAACAGACATTCCTGAAACAGTTCACAGACTCATAGGTGTTTCACAGCAATTACTTTCATAGCTTTTCAAATAAAGAAGAGAGCATTGTCCTATACTGCTTTTAATTATTCTTCATATTTCTCTATTTTAATCCATGTCTTTCTGTTGGCTCTTTGGCAACAGGAATCCTCCTGCTGCCCTGAAGGTGCAAGAAAAGCAAATGTGAGCTATGATTAGCTGGCTGCCTCCAGTTTAATTAGATAATCTACTTCCAAAGCTCAGAAGTGAAACAAAAGGAAAAAGATCTCCCATCAGATCACCTACAGCTCTTCCAAGGAGGCTGAGGAGGAAAAATTACTGCTATTAAAAGAGCAATACAACTCATTAAAGAAGCTATTCTCTGTCTCTCACAGCATTTCAGCAAGGGTTAAGGCACAGCAGCGCGTGGTGGCTTACCTGCTCTCCGCGCTCGGGTCGTTGTGCACACATGTCACTGTGGCAGTGGTCCTCGCGCTGTCTGTCTCTTCTTGAACCCCCCACTGGTCTGCATCACTGACTCTGATGTCCAGGATCTTCACACCTGGGGCTGTCCTAATTCTGTTGGGGAACAACAGGCATTGCTTTAGTTACAGACCTCCTACAAATAAATCCAGAGGTAAACAAGAAGATGAGAGGAAGCATTCCCTCTTCCATTAGGAACAGACTAATACGTTGCAACTCTAAGTCACTCTACTTTAAAAATATAAAACTGGTCCAATCTTTTTAAAGAGAGGAAGTATGAGTTTCATTATGTGCAAAGCCAGTTAATTTTCAGCTTGAACAATGTGGAGAGAGTAAGAATGCTCTCTGCTTCAGTGCCACTAGTTTGAATTAAATGAAACAGATGTGACTAAGTGCAAGTTGATTTAATTTGTGGTGTCTTTCCTGCAGTTTAAGATGGAGACTCAGAGCACTGTGATATAAAATACATCCTCCTGCTTGGAAACCTTTGGGAGCAGGATGCCTTTTAATGTTAGGGCAAGCTGCTTGGAAAAAATGTGCTTCACTGCTCCAAGACCATAATGCATGAAAGAAAGAGGAGTATGTTAGCCTAGATCCAGGACTGAGGGATGAAAACAATCATGCTATCGTACTGGGATGTATCAAACTGGGCATGATCTGAAAGTAATATGACGCTGACATGGAAAACGTTGATTTCCTAAGCACAGTTAGAGTTTCAAAGCAGTTTGGTAGTTGGCAAATGTCACCATTTTTTAGCTTTAAAATAATTTGCTTAAAAAAGTCCATGCTCCAGTGGGGCTCAGAGTTAGGAACAGATTGCCAAAGAATAGGAAACAAACTGCTTTTAATAGCAGGGACTTCATTTGTGCAGCTTGACTCCTGAAACAAGGCTGGGATTTCGACAGGAGTGCTGCAAATATGCCTGGAGAACAATTAGGCAGAAAGCAAGAGCTGTAGTGCCATGTTCACCACTGCTGCGACTTCATTAATTAAAAGCAAAGCCAAGAGGGACCTCTTAGTTGTATGGTGGAATGAAACAGCACTGCTGAGACTTGAAGCGTTACTTAACAGTGAATTGTGATGGATTTGCCCCGATGCCTCGTGGCCAGTTGCTGCTCACGTTACACTATTAAGAATTTCCTTTAAGTTCTATCTGAGTTCATGGGTTTGGATCAAAGGAACTTCAAGACGCAATGGGTGTTTTTTTCTTCTCAGAAGGAATTAATTCATCCTGCTTTTATGATATCCTTATTCTTGCCTGGAAGGCTTTACTGATTTGATGGGCCATATTCACGCCTGGCATAACCAATCTGATGAGAAATGTTCCCTTCAAGGAGAGAATTTTCCTTGCTATTTTCTAATTGTCTCCTTCATGTTTCTCCACAGACATTCATATCTCCAAATAACGTGCCTCAAAGCTTCTGTGCCCCTTTCCCATCATCTCCTCTTTCTTTCAGAGGAACACTCATTTATTCTGCAGTAATTACACTGGACCAAATAATTTCTGCCAGACACCTACATGGCTTCATTTTAGACTGACTTGTAATGTACATGAGAGAGAGAATTAAGCCTTCAGCAATAGATTCAATAATTTTCCTCATCACACTCAGTCACCCACTTGAAAAAAATCATTGGGACCTGGTAAAAATAAAATAATAAATTAAAAATAAGCAACCAACCAGCACTTTTTAAATGTTCTCTTTCCCAGCCAGAATTATGGGGTTTAACAAATTTGCCTCCCCACGACCCTCTCAATTTCTCATGTTTTTTCTTGCCAACATGTCTGGAAACCTCCAACCTGCCTGTCCACCCAAGTCAAAGCCTTGATTAATTAAAGGTTAATTGAAGGGCACGGGATGCTGGGGGGACACAAGAGGACAGCTGGATTTTCCCCAGGATTCATCACCCTTTTTCCATCTGTCAGAAGCCTGGTAAGTTCCTCCTACACAGCTTTTACGCTACAGATATCTTCACTCTGCAGCATTTACTTTTCATCTACTCTGATCCAAATCTAGCATGTCAGTTTACCCCAACAAGAATGGAAAGCAACATGGAACAGTTCCATGCGACACCTGAGCAGGCTTTCACCACACAGAACCCCTGTGCAGCTTTGTTCTTCACGGAAGCTGAAGCTGTTGCTCCTCTTTCCCTTCACCAGTGGTCCTCACATGCAGTGTAGCGGTAAGGATGCACTAGCTTTAAATATCCACATCTATCTACATGCTCAGCTGTTCCAACCTCCTCCAGGCATTCTGCATCCCCAAAACTCTGGCTTCCCTCTTGGGCCAACCCCTCAGCTGTGCCTACCTCCCTCAGACAGGGAGCTTTGCTGTTCTTCTTGTGTCTGAACACAGCTATGAGATGCTCTTTGCCAATATGGACATCAGATGAGGCTCTCTCGATGCCTGTCTTGGCTCACCACTTGGCTACTCCTTCAGGGCACTGTCCATTAATAGGTGTCCCTCTGGTTCTTGGCAATGCTGTCTTGTTGGCTGTCCCTACAGTTTTGCTTGCTGCACATCCCCTGTCTTGCTGGGTTAGCACCAAGTGAACATCCATACTCTGCTCCCCAGCTACATCTTCCAAAAATGTCTCTGAACACTGCATTTTAGGAAAATTTCCAGTCTAATTCCCTGCAATGCATCTGCTCTGGTGGGCTGAGACAAGATGTCATTTTGCATTTTTGGATATCAGTAGAGCCAGGAAGGTTGAAAGAAGGAAGAAACTGAATTCAGCTTCTCACTTAGGAAAAGTCAAGAAATTCAAATGAAACCAGCCTACATATGGGTGGTTTGAGCCTACTGTTCTTCAGATAAGTGATTCATATCTTTAAATCTGCCCCCAAACTATACAGGCACAAAAATTATTGTAAGTATTGGGGATGGAGGCTTTGCAAAAGAGTAAGAAATTCCTACCCAAGCTGACATGGAGAAAGGCTGGAGAAGGACTTGAGGGTGTTGGTTGATGAGAAGCTTGACATGAGCCAGCTTCAGCGTGCGCTTGCAGCCCAGAAACCAACCATATCCTGGGCTGCATCAAAAGAAGCGTGACCAGCAAGTCGAAGGAGGTGATCCTGCCCCTCTACTCTGCTCTCGTGAGACCCCACTTGGAGTACTGTGTACAGTTCTGGTGTCCTCAACATAATAAGGACATGGAGCTGTTGGAGCAAGTCCAGAGGAGGGCCACGAGGATGATTAGAGGGCTGGAGCACCTCCCGTATGAAGATAGGCTGAGAAAGTTGGGGCTGTGCAGCCTGGAGAAGAAAAGACTGTGTGGAGCCCTCAGAGCAGCCTTCCAATATCTGAAGGGGGCCTATAAGGATGCTGGGGAGGGACTCTCCGTTAGGGACTGTAGTGGTAGGACAAGGGGTGATGGCTTCAAACTTAAACAGGGGAAGTTCAGGTTAGATATAAGGAGGAAGTTCTTCACAGTGAGGGTGGTGAGGCACTGGAATAGGTTACCCAAGGAAGTTGTGAATGGTCCATCCCTGGCAGTGTTCAAAGCCAGGTTGGACAGAGCCTTGGGTGACATGGTTTAGTGTGTGGTGTCCCTGCCCATGGCAGGGGGCGGTTGGAACTAGATGATCTTAAGGTCCTTTCCAACCAAAACCATTCTATGACTCTATAACGGTCAGTGTGCGAGCCCAGGCACTGGGTTTATTGCCCTGCTCTGTGCCAGGCTTCAACTGTAAGTTTGGGTGGATCATTTAGTTTTCTTATACCTCCCTTCCCTTCACATAAAATACTGGAAAGTGCTGCTCTTCCAACTCAAAGGGAGCTGTAAGGATAAATACAACTTCTTGAGAAAAGTCTGATGTCCTTTTTACCTGTCCTTCCCCTGAACAGTGTGTCCTTTTTACCCGCTGACAAAAATTCTGCCACCTCTGGGCTTGAAAACACAGAAATGACCTATTGAAGTATTTCACAGGAGCATGACCCAAGACGTAACTGTTACCACTCAGATGGCTCAATGCCTTTTTATAAAGACAACTGTGAATTTTTGAATTTAGTTTTTAAAGGAACACAACATAAGAGCCAATGGGAAAGTTGGCAAAACTGACATTTCATTTCCATGAAATACATCCTTTCTGAAAAGCAGAAGTTTCAGACAGAAAACTGTCCTGTTAAAAAGCATTTGCCTGCCTTTAAAACATTACAACTTACATGGCATTCTGATAACATAATTAGCAGAGCTGTGAATGAGACCGAGGAATACTGAATGAGCTCACCAGACATTAGCCTACAACAGGGCCCCCAACGTTCCAGCCTCTATCCAGCCTCTACCACAAATCACTGTTCATTCCTGATACTCTCTTCCTCAGGGGTGGAGGAGGTCCAACAGAAACATGATGCCCTCCAGCACTGCCTCTCATGACATTTATGCCCATAAGATCTTAAGAGGAGGAAGCTGGGGGACAAGAAGAGGGGTGTCAAAGCTCTCCAGAACAAGGAATCAATGAAACAACTGCTTCATGAGTGAATTTAGCCCTCTTCTCCAGCTGTAAAGGCAGAATAGAGGAAGCTGCTTTCAATATAGACTGCAGAATACATTTGGTATCCCTGGCAGTGTTTCTTCCCCCGAACAGTGTGTCCTCCATTTACTGCAGAATATAAAGACGGAAACATGATGGACTGAATGGAGCAGGCAAGCAGAATCATCTCCAGCCTGCCAACTTGGAAAAACCAGAACGGTCTTAAAACACAATCCCAGCCTTAAGTGCATGCGACCCCATGAATTCAGCTGTGCTAAACCTCTTCTCTCAGTTACTACAACAGAAGGAAAGGAGAAGGTACAAGTAATGACCAGGGCTGAAAGCAACTTAAGGGCTACAAGAGGGGTTTGAACAGCCAAGCACTCAACAGAAGTGGTGCAGGGACTTCCACCACCTCCCAGTCAGTTAAGTGCATAATCTGCAAGGTAAATGCTTGCTTGCAACACCCCCCAGCAACACTCCCAGCAGTGGTAATTGGGAAGTGAAAACTTGGCAAAAGGAACTTTAAAATAGAAACAGAAGGAGAAGATTATTTAGGAAATAAAACGGGAATGCGCTCACAGCAGATGGAAAATGCTCAAAGTGATGAGGAAAAAAAGACTTT